TTGGTCAAGATGCAGTTAGCACCAGAAAATGCCAGCGTTGGTTTGAGAAATTTCGCGAGGGAAATTTTTCGTTAGATGACAAGAGTGGTCGAGGCCGTGTGTCCAATTTTGATCAAGAAGCTCTTCAAGCTCTTTTGGTGCAAAATCCTCAAATTACCCAGCAAGAGCTTGTGACAACTTTAAATTGTTCACAAAAAACAATTTCCAATCAATTGCGTGCACTTGGCAAAGTCCAAACGTTTGGAAAATGGGTTCCTCATGAGTTGACCGACAACAACCGTAATCAAAGAGTCACAATTTGCAGTTCGCTCCTCTCTCGTCAAAACCGTTTGCCGTTTTTAGAGCAACTTGTTACCGGAGATAAAAAATGGGTGCTATATGTTAATTTGAAAAGGCGGCCTCAATGGTTGGACAAAAATGAGGCTCCGCAGCCCACGCCAAAACCTGACTTGCATGCGAAAAAAGTGATGTTGTGTGTTTGGTGGAATTTTAAAGGAATTCTTCATTATGAACTTTTATCATCTAACCAAACCATTACAAGTGCAGTGTATAGTGCCCAATTGGAAAGGTTAGCCCAAGCTTTAAGAGAAAAAGAACCCGCGCTGATTAATCAGAGGAAGGGCGTAATTCTTCACCACGATAACGCACGACCGCATACTGCAAGAATCACTGCTGAAAAACTGCGCCAGTTGGAATGGGAAGTTCTCCCTCAACCTGCATATTCTCCTGATATTGCCCCTTCCGATTACCATTTGTTTCGTTCTTTGCAAAACTTTCTTCTTGGAAAAAAATTTAATAATGAAGAATGCCTCAAAAATGCATTGACCGAATTTTTTGCATCAAAATCACAAGAATTTTACAACAGAGGGATTAAAATGCTTCCTGAGCGTTGGGCACAAGTAGTAGAAAACAATGGCAACTATATTGTTGATTAAATTTTGTTGTATTGTTTAAATAAATTCGATTTAAAAAAGTATAAGAAAACGACATTAATTATTACTAGACCTAATACTTTGGTTGCGGGCACATCCCCAGTGGGCATGTGCAGGAGGCAGCTGATCAATGTTTCTGACTCTTTATCCCTCTCCCTTCCTCTTTGTAAATATATTTTACTGGTTAGGAAATTGAGCGCAGATAAAGCAAATATAACAAAATTTTAACAATTATTGAAAACAGGAGAGTGTGTGAGTATTCTTTTTTCTACACTTTCAACTTTTCATAATAAATATTTGGGGAGAAATTAGTTATAGTCCATATAACTGTCATTAAAAACAAAGTTGATTTATTTTTACTGCAATAATTTTTATGGCCTGTATTGCCCACATTCCCCTATAGGGCCCACCAATAGCAAAATGCCAACTCCCGGGAACCCACAAGCAAACCTTACCCGCTACTGTCACACACACACTCAGTTGTTGGACGCGAAGTGAACACATAACCTGAAGCAGCCAATAAACTGGCTTACTAGCACCCAGTGATATCTGTAGCGCACATGGAGGAACTGAGCTAATCAGATTTCCTCTCCTGAAAATTGGGCCCAAAATATGGAAACTGAAAGTCAATAACAGGAACTAGAGTTGAAATTTTATGATGTTGGGGTTCCTAGAACATGCAAGATAAAGAAGCGAGAGAGGGGGCAGAAAAGTGAGCATGCCCAGGTAAGGGGAATTAGTCAGTACAAAACTGACTACTATAGAGAGAGATATAAAGATTGCAGACTGTTCAGGCCCAGAAGGAAAGTTCACCGCCTTGGTTTCTGTTGGGTTTTCTAGTCCTCAGTACTAATTTACATCAGCCCAAATACCACTGGCTTCCTCTCCTACAGCCTGTGACATCTTATTAACTTTTTCTAAAGCCCTATATACCTGGAGATCATATAAGGACCCTTACCATTCTGACTATTCTAATATGCTTTAAAGCTCCTAAATTCATTTAAAAAAAAAAAAAAAAGTATTGTTACACAGTCACAAAGCAGCAGCAGAGAAAAGGTAGTTCAATTCTATCATTAATGGCATTTACTAGTAGCTTTGAATAAATCTACCTTACATACTTTTTAAAGTATCTTTCATTCTACCGTCACCCATTTACTTGGCAAAAGTTGAGGTAAAACTGTTCCCATACTCTTGATCTAAGTAGGTTATGGGTTATTTGCTAATAAGAGCTATTAAAAATTTTCTAGGAAGAATATTTAATGTTTGACCTGACTCAAGTAACTAGAACATCCTATTGTTTGCTCTGTGTGTCTCCATATAAACATCTGTTTGTGTGTTTAAATACAAAAATTAGCAAGGAAATACCTACAGTAGCACTCTGAAAAAAATTCATGCCTCCAAAAGTTTAATACAAAAAATGTACATAGTCACCTCAAAGTAAAATTTTGGAATAGAAAAAATAATGAAGGCTAGTTCGAGGATGCATTACTTGATATAAAACAACCAACATCCTAATAAGCCCTTCACTCTGTACCAGTTTTTTTTAATGCAATCTATTATAAACACTCAAATATCTGTCTACTATGGTAAATATACAACCAGTGACTATACAGTCTCTACATTAACAGGAAAGTCTCAGAAGTAGAGTATTTTCTGGAGGAGATGGCTCCTAAGCTCAGTCCTGAAGGAGTATGCCCACTGAAAAGGAGACCCAGGAATATGACAAGGTTGGACTTCTCCCCCATACAGATTTCAATTTTAAACCAAGCTCAAGGTCTAAAATTTGGGTAAATACATTGCCATATCGTTTACTGTAACCAAAGAGCCAGATAGTTCTCCAGCAAAAGGGTTTATGAACAACAAAGAATTGCAATTCTGGACAAGAAGTCTAATGATAAAGTTCAAGTAAGACCAAAGGAAAAAGGAGAGGAACATTCTCTTACAGAGAAAAGGGGGAGTTCAGAGGGACTGCTGGAAACAGAGTCCATTAGTGGAAACTGGGAGTTGTAGTTTGGAGTTGGCTGAGTGGTTGACCTAGGAGATCTTCCTTCTTCCTGATGAAGTAGCAGAATAGAAAAACTTCCTTTTGGAGATGGGAAAGTATGCTTTTTCCTGTTGAGGTTAATTGGCATGGAGTGATAGGGCATGAGAGCTCCCCTACAGACCTTCCTAAAGCTAATCTACATGAGGTTTCTGTTTAATAAACTTCACAGTTATTCAGTTATATACAGGAATAAGTTTCTCTGTAGATGTGTTAGGCCAATGGTAGGTAAACTCATTAGTCAACAGAGCCAAATATCAATAGTACAACAATTGAAATTTATTTTGAGAGCCAAATTTTTTAAACTTAAACTTCTAACACCACTTCTTCAAAATAGACTCGCCCAGGTTGTGGTATTTTGTGGAAGAGCCACACTCAAGGGGCCAAAGAGCCGTATGTGACTCAAGAGCCACAGTTTGCTGACCATGGTGTTAGGCCAACAGAAATGAATGCCTGAGGTCTCCCCCCAAATGCAAATTTGTCTTTAGGATATCCATTTCTACTTCAAATTTTTTTTTTAAGTTTTCATTATCAGAGTTTGCCTCTTTACGATCCCACAGCCCTACACTCCTTATTTTTTTCAAAAGCACATTGTTACTCTCTCAGCCCCACCATGCTGAAGGGACTTGCCTTGGGGGTCACAGAAAAGCTAAGTGGCCCTAAGAAACAGTGGCCTTTATGAAAAGATCACTGGAAAAGAATTAAAGAAAGATTCTATTTCTAGCAAGTACTCTTAAGAGGGAGTCTGGTATTAATGGAAAAACAATAGCCCAACAAGTTCCTGAAATTGAAATATGTTAGTTTTCAGTCTGTTGAAATCCAAGAATGAAACTCAACCAGGTTTTAGAAAATTTAAATGGATGTTTTTGGAATTACCTATGGGACTGGGAGAGAAAGAGAAAGAAAGGGGGAGTGAGGAAAGGGAGGGGAAAGAAAAGGATGAAGGGCAGGTAAGCAATGCTACCCTAGAAGCAGAGATGAGTACCTGTGAGATGCTGGAGTGTGTAAATAGATAGGAATTTCTATCCTGTGCTATGTCCTGTGGCCATAATCCACTCCCCGCCCCTAATTCTGACTTCCCAACCGCAGCTTCTCCTCTTCTCTAAACTGTACGCCTTCCCCCTTGATTAGGTGCAGACAGAACACTATTCCAAGGCACAGTGGAAAACACAACACTCCAGCCCTGGACATCAAAAATGCAAAGCAAGCAGAGTCACTTTACCTGGTGCAAAGTCTATTATTATTATTACTTTACTAGGCAGCCACACATACCCTCGTGCCTGGAAAGGATGAGGACACAGTTAATGCCATTGCATCCTGACTCCTTCCTTTAACAGACTGTAAAACTGGTGGGGGATGGGGTGGGGAGGGGGGAAAGGTCAGGTAGGCGAACTCCTTAGTGGCATAAAGGTTCACAAAGCCACCCCAAAAGAGGTGCTTCTAACTATCAATAGCAGATATCAACATGTGGATAGTATAAACATACGGGTAGAGTGCTATGAGGGCTTCCCCATGGTAAGGTACACATAAATGCCTTTTTAAATAAAAGTAGCAGGGAATAGAAAAGGGATGGGAACACCAACCGTAACAATTTGGGCGGGATTTAGGCTGTTAGGCTGACTCAGCTTAGCAAACTGAAAAGGGCGCATTTCCCCGGGAACTAGGCTGGCCGGCTGCTGGGCGAGCACCTGTTCGCACCAGCGGCGAGGTGGGACCAGAACCCGCCTCCGCGCCCCGCGAGCCTCGGGTACCCCGGCTGGGCTCGTCCCATCTCGGTCCCTCACTGGTGTGTGGCCTTGGGTCTCTAAACTGGTCCATCTCGGTTTTCTCCTCCAGGAGTGGGAATGGTTAACAACTCAGGTGCAGCCAGCCTTCCTGCTGCCCACTCGGAAGGGCCGGCGCTTTCGCTGGAGCTCGCTCGCGGGCAGCGGCTCCACCCGGAGTCCCGCAGGCGCCTGCGCGCGCAGCTCCGTCAGCGTCCGGCCCGCCCCGCGTCAGGGCTGCGCCGGCCCCCGCGGCGCCCTTACCTGCCGACGAGGAGCACGGAGGTGGCCATGCCGGAGCCGGAGCCGGAGCCGGAGCCGGAGCCGCCCTGTGCAGGCACCGAGGGTGCGAGTAGCCGGTTGGGACTTCGGGCTCGCGGCAATGCAGGGACCCCGCCAGACGAACGGTGACCCGCGCCTATTGGCTGCGCTCGGAATCGCGCAGCCCAGATCGGTTCCGGATTGGCTGCGGGTTGGCTAGGGCGGGGCCAGGGCTGGCGCCCGCTCCCTGCAAAGAGCCGGCCGGGCGAAGCTGGGGAGGAGCCTGGCCTCCTCTCCCCCGTTTCTCCCCACTCCGGCGCCCCCCACCCCAGGGCCGCAGGGACGTGGGCCGAGCTGTTCCCGCAAACCCCCTGGAGGGAATGCCAGTGGGAGGCACGGGGACCAGACTCGCGGAGTTCAGTAATTCATGTTTATTTTTCAGTTTTCCACACCGCACCCTAAGGTCAGTGTGCCTGGCCCTTTTTGGAACCCAGGAGCAAACAGACCAAAAATAAAGGGCATCCATCACACATCACATACACACACAGTTCCGGGAAGTGCCGGCGGCATCCATTCAAGGTTATTACTCAAGTAGAAAACCCATCCAACACCAGCAGACTCATGGCAAATGGAGCTTTTCCTTTATTTGTTTCCCCCAGTCGTAAACATGGAAAGAGAGATGTCAAAGGGAAGGCTAAGCTTTGAAGATCCACTTCACAAACTATCAATAAATATTTGAAAGGTGCAGTTTCTGTAGCTATTCACACAGGCAGCTAAAGGGGTCACGGCACCTGCAGAGTGATTATGACTATTCTTGGAGTAGAAAGGTATATGAGATTATCAGTGATAATCTTTTTTGTTGTTTTAATATATTCTTATTGATTTCAGAGCGGAAGGGAGGAGAGAGTGATAGAAACTTCAATGAGAGTGACTCATTGATAAGCTGCCTCCTACTCTCCTCACACATGTGCCCTGACCTAAATCGAACCGTGACCTCCTGGTTCATAGGTCGATGCTCAACTGAGCCATTCTGGCCCAGTGGCTCTTTGCTTTAAAACATGCTGGCCGTGCAAATTGCCCTCTATGTAACCCTGTGGGAACTGGAGGCTCCAAAACCAAGTGTGTGTGTGTGTGTGTAATAGTAATAGCCGGGGGTGTGTGTGTGTGTGTGTGTGTGTATATATATATATATATATATATATATATATATATATATATATATATGTAAAAAGGTTGTTTACCTCTAACCCATGGATCTCATGACTTCTGTCAACTTCCACAAAACTATGACCCATTAACTTGTTAGTCTGCAATAAGGTTAAAAAAAACCTCAGACCCTCTACCATCCTTCCCTCCACCCCCCTGACTCCTACAGTACTTGAAACATCAAAATTTTAAATGTATGTACCCTATGGCTTTCTGATTCCAGTCCTATAGAAATATTAACAAGTAGACACCAAGATAGGCTAAGCTGTTGATTTCAGCATAGTTTTTAATAGAAAAATAATGAAAACATGATGAATTCTATCAATAAGAAACAGTTTTGAGAGTTATAGGACAAAGGATTTCTGCATGTACCCAAGATGTTCTTCAAAAGACAATGTTAAGAAAAATAAAAATAGCAACTCCACACTGGGAAAAAATATTGGCAAAGCACTTATGTAGTTAAAAGCCTGTGTTCAGGACATACAGAGAAGTCTTGCAACTCAATAATGGGAGAAACAACTGATTAAAAAGTGGGCAAAAGATCTGAAGAGACAGTTCACCAAAGAAGATATATTAATGGTCAGTAAGCAATGAAAAGATGGTAAACATAATTAGAAATCAGAAAATGTGAATTAAAATCACAAATAGATACCACTACATACTGGGTAGGATTAATATTAAAATCACCTTTTGTGGGTAAGGACATGGGACAGTTGAATTCTCAGATTATTTCTGGTAAGAATGCAAAGGAAAAAAATTTAGCAGTCTTCTGAAGTGAAACATATACTTAACATACTGGTATGATTCAGCAACTCCACTCCTAGGTATTACACAAGGGAAATAAAAACTAGTGTCCACACAAAGATGTGTACATGAAGATTCTTAGCAGCTTTACTCATAATAGCCAAAACCCAGAAACAACTCAAATAGGGAATAGAATAACAAATTTTGTATATTCATACAATGGAATACTACTCGGGGATAAGAAAAAACAAACTACTGATGCCTGGAACAATGAAGGGAAAACACATACACAAAACCTTGATCAGCTGAGATTCTGGATTTGTAACCAGCAGTCGTAAAAGGAAGTAATAAATATGTTATTCTGACCAGTAATAGAAATGAAGATTGTAGCAGCCACGCATTTTTTCTTTTTTTTTTTTCTTTCTCTGTGTGAATGTGTGTCTGTCAGCTCATTTCTTTTCCTCCCTCCTCCTTTTCCCTTATTATTTTCTGTAAGGATTGTTGGTAGTACTTAAGTTTATAATTTAGTCTATAGGTTGCAGAATACTCAGGTGAGATATAGACTGAATTAAACACAAATGTTCTGAGGTGGATATAACTGAAAACACAGGTTCAGCTGCCTGCCAAAACAAAAGCCAAAGCAGGTGCTGGTGCAAAAGGAAAAAGGTTTTATTCAGGTGCCATGCAACCTGGGGAAGGTGGACTCCCATCTCAAAAATCATCTCCCCTTTCTGCTCAAGCCCCCAATTCTTATAGGGAAAGGAGAACTTTTTTTTTTTTCTATCCAATTATCTTTTTTTTCCCCCACCCCTCTATCCAATTATCTTGCTAGCTTTTAATGTGCTCAGCCTCTATCCATTCATCGTTCAAGTTTTCCACTTGCTGGGGTCCTGCTGTTCGTCTTTCTAATTGTTGGCATACTTGGGCTCTACCCATCCTTCTAGCTTTGTGCTCACTCAGGGTAAGAACCTTTCCCTGGCTTATCTTGGCCAATGAGGAAGACTTCCCTGCACTCCGAATGACTCTCTATGGCAAGCATGTCAAACTCGTAGCCCGCCACAAGTTTGACATGCTTGCTTAGTCTAAGATAACATAGACACAACTGTCAATGTTTGTTCCATCTCCCCTTTTAGGGACATGAGAGCATCTCTATGGGAGAAGAACTGCATTGTCTTGGGAGAAAGCATTGTTCTTACTATTATGGCTCAGAAGTTCAACCACGTGCAGAGGGGTGTATGCAGAAGGCTGTGCCAAGATTTGGGGGCAGTTGTCTCCCTGCTCCAGTCCATCCTTTTATACTTTGGTGTGTGATGCTAGTAGGTTTCCTGTTAGATTCCACTAGAGAAAAATGGGAATCAGAGGGAGAGAGATGTTAGCGTGCTGATCCTGTTAATGCCACCCTAGCCATCACACTAGTTCCCTCCACTCGTTCTGTGTCCAGTTCTGTTGGCCCTGGTAGACACTGCCTCTCAAATACCTTCAGGTATGCCCAGCCCTCCCAAGCCCTGCCTCTGAGCTTGTTTCAGAAGAGAGATTAGCTTTCCAGTTGGTTTGAAAGATGCAAGTTTCCATGAAGAGTGGATAATCAGCCCTAGCAGGTTTGGCTCACTGGGTAGAGTATCAGTCTGTAGACTAAGGGTCCCAGGTTCAATTCTGGTTAAGGGCACATGCCTAGATGCAGGCTTGATCCCCAGTGTGGGGCATGCAGAAGGCAGTTAATCAGTGTTTCTCTCTCATCATTGACATTTCTATCTCTCAGTCTCCTTTCCTCTTTGAAGTCAATTAAAAATTAAAAAAAAAAAAAACCTGGATAATCAACATTGATTTAGGTCTCTGTCAGATCCTAGAAAGTCATAAACACTTTGATGTTGGTTAAATTTAGTCCACAAATCTGGTTTGTGTTTGTTTATTTAACTTATAGACTTTTTCTTTTTAATTGTGAATCTCAGTACTTCTGGAGACAGATCCATGGCCCCATTACCAACATTGTCAGGCTGATCCCTGGCAGAAGTAGCCAGTAAGGGACTCTGCTGGCTCAAGAACTTGTGAATTATTTACAGAAGGGCAAGAGCCTGTGAAATGTGAGTTCTTCTTATTTTAATAATCACATTTGTACCCAGGGTTCCAGGAAGCCTAGGTAAGCTTGAATTACCACAATAATCATTCACACTCTTTTAATATGAGGTTATTTTACTTAGTCATCTCATTGAATTCTCATAATCTATTAATTGTTGTTTTCCTCATCTTAAAGGTAAAAAAACAGAAAGCTCAAACAGGCAAGTCCAACAACTTACATCGATTTAACATCATTTATTAAATATTTACTAAGCACTTGCTATGCACCAGCCACTATTCTGAGTCAGCATTGTCTAGCAGAACTTTCTGTGGTGGTACAGATAGTATCACCATCTGTACCACCATCTGCACCAACTATGGTAGCCACTAGTTACATGTAGCTATTGACTCTGGAAGTATAGCTAATGTGGTTAAGGAAACCAACTTTCATTGTATTTCATTTTAGTTAAAGTTAACATGTTAAATAGCTACATGTAGCTAGTGGCTATTGTATTAGCTTAGTTCTAGACATTTGGTACAAAGTGGTGATCAAGTCAGATAAAGACTTCTAGTCTTATGGAATTTATATTCTAGTGAAAGACAGAAAATAAACAAAAGGACAAAAATGGCACAATATATAAATAAATGAAAATTCAGGTTACATGAGTTCTATGTGGGAAATAACACAGGTTAAGGAGATTAAGGATGATGGTAAGGGAAGATTTTTTTTTTTTTTAAATCAATAGTCAGGAAAGGCTTCTCCTAAAAGAACAGGTTTTGAATGTTCAAATAAGTATACAGATCTATGATATCTGTCATGTGCATAACATTTCCTTAGATGTGTCCCCCTTGTGCAGTATGCAATCTATACAACTATATGTATAGATTTCATACTGCAATCTATACATATAGTTTAGATATACTGATAGATGCTGTGATGAGTATAATATTGTCTAGGGAAATTCATGTGCTTGAATATAACTATTTTCAGATAGATGGTAGTTCCTTGTCAGAAACTTAGAACTTC